GCCCCCACAATATAAACAAAGAAAAGTTGCCAAGTATTAAAATTGAATTCCACATTTATGACCTATGCACTTCATCGGCTCAAAGAGCTAGTTGATGATTTGCTTTGCATATTTGAAATACAAATATTTACATCAATTAAAACGATTTATTTGCGGAATGAATAGACGAATACTGACAGACACAAATAATCGCACATGTGAACGGAACGTAACTCAATTAAATTCGCTCTTATTGAAGTGCATCAATTATCCGAAGAGTCCTTGAAAGAGCTTTGAGCTTTGCCAGATCGATTTTGATTTTTTGCTAAGCTCGTTTAATTTCATTTACCTCAAATGCACTTGATAAATGCAAATCAGTAGCAAACTGAATGCTGAAAGCTGAAAACCCATAGAAATACTTGTGCATATCCAACGGATACACGCTGGCAGGCAGTCGAGTATCTTTGAGGTTGCCGTGTGCTCAGGCCGAGATTTCTTTTGGCCATTTACAAATTGCTCAATGTCTGGCTGTAATAAATTATTTATGTTATTGCGGCGATGTCAATAAAGACATAAGTGCGCACAATCAAAAGCGAAAACCCAAAGCGGATTGACATCGAGCGGGGGATCAAATTGCTGGGGGAATCGGGTCGGTCAATTACTATATGCTATATGGTTAGCCAGCTGCAACAACAGCAACAATCGGACAACAAACCATAAAAGCGCAGCCCAAGTGCAGGTCATAAAAAATGGAAATAACACAAAAACACAAAAGACCCAAAGAAAAAAAAAACCCATTTGACACCGAAATCAAATTAACATACAAAACTTACATTCCACATTACAAGCCGGCAAACAGACGAAGCTTTTTGTAACCGCACAACAAACAATTGAGTAGGGAAAAATCTGAAAATGTGAAAATCTGAAATCACAGTTGGATGTCGGGGACCTGTCATATAACACTTGTTCGCCTCACTTGTTGGGCATTTTCTTGCCTGCATAGCCAAAACACACCACACAGAAATTGTTTGTTTTTTTCTACGTTTCCATTTTTGTTTCACTTTTTGTGTGCCTGCTTTTTTGGCATTTACCAAATTCTTGTAGCTGTCGCGTGTAGCGACAAATTGGCATTGATGTGGGTGGTGGAGTGGGTGGAGGGGGTGGGCAATGGGTGGCTTCAAAATGCATTCCAACAGGTGTTCGGATTAGCTGGCACTAGCCAACACTGCAGGCGCCTAGGGGCATTTTTCGAGGGACCTTTATTGAACTTCAATAAGTAGTTAATGCTTCCTAACAGCGGTTTTTAAATATAGTAATTCTTATTTTTCAACTAAACAACATTTTATTATGGTTGCCATTAGATGGTCATAAATGTATGTATGTTTTTTGGATACTTAAATTGCACCTTTATTAACTTAATGCTTAATTTCAGCACTTAATAACAGTTGCGCACTGCATTTTCATTTAAAAAAGTTTAGTCTTTAAACAATTCTATTAATATAATTATTTGTTTATTTTTTATCCTCGATCCAGAAGTTTTGCTTATTAAAAAGTAACTTGGGAATGTCATATTCGAACCTTTATTCTTTCATATTTAATTGTCAATCGACTGCCGAATCGAACGCGTATAAGCTAGTATAATTGTGAAAAATAGTGGTTTGCGATTAGGGACCTTAAAGTTAAGTGGTGTGAATGCGTCACTTTCTAAGTTATTTGCTCATGTGATCGGTGGAGTGCAACCCCCAAAAAGGTGGCATTGAAATGCGGCACAAAGCCACCGTATCAAAACCCCTTCAAGGACCTTCTCCAGTGCCACTCAAACTGTAATTAAAGCCAACGCTGCACATCGACTCTTGAAGCCTTTGCAATCCGCTCACTCAACAATGGGAGTTTAATGCTCGGCCTGGGGCATTTTCAAGGCATAATCATTTTTTGTGCCCGAACAGGGATAATAAATATGTCGCAGGCACTTGAGGCAGCCTCTCGCATTTATGCCACTGCACACGGATGGAAAGCAACCCCGTGCCACCCCACTCCACTCCCTTTTCGGTGCAGGTTCTTGAAATCGTGTACGATGCCTGCACTCTCAATTATGTCTTAATTCGTATCTAATGGATATTTTCTGTGTGAATTTTCATGATTAATCGCCGCCCAAGGGTGAAAGAGGGACAGCAGATACACATAAGGAAAAACAGGTCAACATTTAGACCTTATACAATTTATACAATTTATTAATTTCAAAATTCACACTCCCAGTGACTTTTTAAATATTCCACGTTTAGATTATTAGTTGAAATTCTTTGTGATTCTCAGGATTTATTAATATAGTTTGGTGTTTTCGAATTTTCTGAAGAATCCACCAAAAAACCTATGAAAATGGTATTCTATAAAAATAAAATAAACATATTGAAGAGCTGTCTTTTACTTATACGGATAATGATTTTAATCATAGTTTTAAGTGCTATTCAAGTTCCCATTTATTTTACCCTTTTATCATTTGGTATTTGTGAATGAATTTTTTTAAAGGAAATCTCGGGTTTGAAATCAAAAAGCGTTCTTATTATTTTTATTATTCTTCTTTAATTACCAATAAATTAAAAAATCAAATAAATAAATCAAAATATAAAAATACATCCCAAAGTAGAAGCCATTTCTCTAATAATTCTAGACTTAATTATACATTTTTCTGAGTGCACCTAAGGGGGTGGTTCGACGACTGCAGTTGTTCACACATGTTCACAAAAAGAGTGCAAATATTGGGGGTGGTGGGGCGGACAATGGAAATGCGAGCAATAACTCAACTCCACCGAAGGTTTCCAACTTTCTTTCCCCCTCGATTTTCTTTTTTGAAAATTTGCAAGGCGGTGGGCTGAGCAGTGGGTGGTGGTGGGGTGGGTGAAATTTGCAATTGCTGGGGTGTGGCAGTGGCATTAACGGCATATGCACCGTATGTGTGTGCATGTTTGTAGGTTTGTGTGCGTAGACGGCGACGTGTTGCAACTTCCGGTGACGTCGACATAGTCGCAAAAAGTGATTACGCGGCATTTGCGGCAGCAGCAAACCGGCGACGGTTTTTGCAAACATTTCCAAGAATGGAACCGCATTTTCAACCCGCCACCCGCATTGCCCCCTCCCCCAAAAGCAGCACCCACTTTTTCGTTGGTAAACAAAAAGCATCTGAAATGCAATTCTCACTTCTGCGGCACATGGGCGCCATCTAGCCGCGCTTAGGCGAACTATCTAAAAGGGAGAGAAAATCAGAGAGAGAGATTGAGATAATGTGAGAGTTTTCCTGAGAGCGCGGCGGAAAACTCATCTAGCTTGCATTTTTATCTAAGAGCGAGCGGGAGATTGCCGGCTCTCTCTCTCAGCCTAATTTTCCTCTCTGTTTATCTTTCACTGCTGCATTTGCATTCTTTTCCACTTTCTTGTTGTTGCTGTGACCGCTCCCAAAAAATCAGATTTCCATATCATTGTTGTCGGTTCGTTTTTTATTTATTTATTTTACTTAGCATCGAATCTGATAAGAATGTTATATGTGATGGAAGCGAGCAAAGAACTTATTGGATACACTGTGGGCAGTTCTAATTGGGAAGGGCCATGGCATGTGGTGAAGGCTAATTAGCTGTGGGCGGCGGAAGTTTGACATCTTATTGGATTACAAGCTGAAGATACGTAGGATAATGGAAAATTTGAAGTAAATAAATAAACACGTTCTTATCGTAGTTTTTTAAGTTCCAAAAAGTTTTCCCATTGTCTACGTTTTCTTAACCTGCCCTTGTTATCGATTACCAATGTCTTTATACTGTCTAAAAAATATATGTGACACTAAAGCTTTAATGGCCACACAGTTAGATCAGATCCTTTCTTTTAGATTTTGACCTCTTGACAAAATCCATTCTTTAATAAATTGTTCCTGATTTTTCGTGCTAGAAAACGTATGTGTTTAATTAAATTAGGCTAGGTCCTCAAAACACTTGTTCTTCATAATATTAAGTACCAATTCTGATTTTGAAACTGGCAGAAAAGAAAAATGTATCATTATTATTATATCCTTTTTTTAGATTGTGTGCTAAGTAATTTTGGTCTTACCGCACAGTATCTATCATTTCTTTTTCAAAGTCTTTAGCATTATTTTCATCTGTATGCCATCCTATTGGTAAGTCCTATTTTTCCTTGCCCAAGTCATTAGCACACCTGTGCGCCTTATGCGGCAGCGACACACGATTGTCAAATTGCTGTGGTCCACAGAGTAAAAAAAAAACGCATTCAACACCCACGGGTCTCATTTGTGGGCGAAAATTTGGGCTAGCAGGGTTTTGAACCAACTTACTCCCAGCTTATCTGACTCAATGAGAATCCAATTTGAGTCTTACCGGCTCAGATAACTCTTCCGTTATCTGGAGCTCTCTGAGAGAGAGTCTTATATGATTTTTGCAAAAAGGTCGAAGTGTTTGTTCGGCTCACCCACACAAGCACACACACTTCGTGTTCGCTCTCATGCTCTCGTTTGCAGTGCACTGTTACCGTACGTCGCACGTTAACAGGCCGTTAACAGCGGCAGAGAATCGGCGGCGGGAAGTTCGTGGCTTACACCGATACAATACAGCGTCAGTTCGACCGAAAACGTGAACGTGTGTGGACATGTTGTAGAGCGCACCGTTATTTTCCATAGCAGCCAGCAGCAGATTCGCGCGTGCAAATTTTCTCTCCCTTTCACCCACCCTCCGCCGACGGTTGTTGTTGTTGTCGTCATTGCTGTTGTTGTGCGGGCAACTTGCTTTTTGGGGGCGGGGCACGCGGGTCATCGCAAATAGCAAAATCGTCAATCGTTAATCGTCAATCGGCGAAACGTGTGTGCAGAATTAATGGGAAATACTCGCGCCGCCTTCATCAATGAAAAATAAAAGAGACTATCCGCCAAATAGTAAATCAAAGATTGCTGTGCTTTCGGTTCACGTTGTGTTTAGGCCAACATTTTTGTTTGACAACAGTGCGTGCTAACGGTTCAGCCTCGAATTGGCCATACAATCGCGGTAAGTCTTCCATTTTGGTGCTTAATTCTAAGGTGTTCATTTGATACCAATATTAATACTATTATTGATTAGTTCTGGCATGAAATAGGATTAGTATAGTGCTTTGTAAATGGTCCATCATAAATCCAATTAATAATAATCTGATCATTTTAAGCTTGTTTGAGTCTCACACATTGTAACGTAGATTTTCGTCCAAAATAGCCAAAATTTTGTAATTGGTTAAGAAACAATCTGGCCATTTAAATCCATTGAAATCATTAAATAACAATTTGAAAAAAACTAACATTTTATTTTTTATGGAAGTTAAATAATAATTTGGTTTTAAAATTAACTTCATTGATAAGACTGTTTATTGGTAAATAGTATTTTTTATAGAAAACATTTTAAAATTGAACTATAAATGTGGTAAATATATCAGCTATTTTAATGAAACAATATTATTGCACTTTTTGCAATTTTTTAATAGTTTTAAGGGAATTTCTAATTATTCGCAAAACAACAAAACCGAAGATTGGCTTTTCTAATCTCAAATATTTAGCCATATTTCTGGGAGAGTAACTTTAAAGCCCTAAAATTGCCTTGACAGCAGCATGACACTCTTTTTTCTTCGTCTGTTGTTTCATGTTCAATCGATAAGTTTTATGAGTTTTCGTTGTGAAATTTTGAAATCATTAATTATGTCTCGGGCCGCAGACTCGGTCGGAGTTTCCGTCCCAGTCCCATCGCATCGACAGTCTCTTTTTGGGGTTTTCTGTCTGGGGAACAGGTTTCGTTAGAGCGAAAAACTTAAAGAACTTTTGAGGTTTGTGCAATTCCGAGAACTTGTTAGCTGCTGCCTGGACTCGTGTTTGTTCGCCCCTCTTTATGGAGATGTGGATCTTTATGAATGAACGAGGTGAGGCTCAGTTCGGAGTGCTGGGCGGCTAGGCGGTCCAAATGTCTCGTGTTGTGGGCCTTTCTCGTTGACACTTTTGAGGAATGTCGACTTGGCCAAGTAGGAATCGGTTAAGACGTGAGCTGGCATAAGTCTTCAGATGCTGAGACATTTAGAAGTTCGAAGAATCCAAAATGGGAATAGAATTTGTGGGAGAATCAAGAGGGGATTTCAAAGGAAGTGGCAGTGGAAGATAATTTAACTGGGCTTGAGTTATGTAAATATTCTTGAAGAATTACACCAAACACAGTCCATACTCCATTTCTCTTACACAAATAGCAGTCGTATAATATATTCAATATTATTTGAAAAGGGGTAGCACTTTACGTCCTTATAGTCTTAAAACTATAAGTTATACATTTTAAAATCCTAGCATTTCTAGAATTACAATTTTAAAAATAAAAAAAAAGTTTTCAGTACAGAATTATATTTTCGTTAAAATGTGTCTATAGAAATAATTAACTTTTTAAAAGCAAGTCTTAGAACGATGCTTATCTTTATGTAGCTGCCTCTATTCTGTTTTTCCCAACTCGGTGACCTTCTCCTCTGAGCACTACCTCGAAACGAAATCTTAAAGCAAACCCCACTCATTAAAGCCCTCGGCTGCTGTTGTTATCAGGCCTCACAAATCCCCACCGAAAACGCCAAGGCCGAAGAAGCGAAAAACTTCCAGCCTGCATTAGCTAAGCAGACAACTGAGGCAGGGGAAGCTAACTGGATCTGAAACTGAAAACTTTTTAATTACCAACAGGAAAAAACATTTAAGATAACAGGCAGGTAATATGGAGGGCAGATGGGCGCTGTGTCTCTTTTACATAAATTGAAAATATAGCAACTTTTTGGGCACGAGACTTTATCTGGTTTAGATGTTTCAGCCAAGAGTCCGAACCGAATTCGAACCTTTTTTCTTCGTTCTCACTGACCCAAAAGTATTTATGACGTTCGTAAATATAACAAAAATCCGAAGGAAAGAAGCAGCAGCTTTTGGCCATCTCAGAGCTACAATTTTTACGGCTTAAACATTTTTTAGCCATTAGATAAACAAACAGAAGGGGGAGAAAGAGAGGAGAGATAGAGACAGAGTAAGAGATACGAAAATATCTTTCAAGTACAATGTTAGGTAAATATAAACAAAACTTTACGTCTTCAGATCCCACACTTCTTTTTACAACCTTCTTCTAGCTCACCTCCATTCCATCCGCTGATGCTGCACTTGGCTGTTTTGTTTCGGGTCTTCTTTTTCAGCTACTTAAAGCTTTTAGAGCAGCAGCAAGATGTAATATAAATTACATTAGCTAAGTGCCAGGCGGCAATTAAAAACAAAAAATACTCGTGAAGTTTTCCTCCGCCGTTGTTGTTGATAATGTTGTTAATGATGTTGCGGCAGCATCTTCAGCAGCCAGCCAAATTCCCATTCCCATTCGCATCCGCATCATTATCATCATCAGCAGTGGCATCATCATTAAGAACATCATTGCCACCATTAGCAGCATCATTAGAACGTCAACTTAATCAAGGTTAAAAAGCATGTGGCGTGCCTGCCCCAAAAAATCGGGGAAAACTCGAAAGATGCGGGAGCGTCCATCCTGCTCTCTCTCTCGCTCTCAGTGGGGTATATCAATTTATATATATATCTTCGATTCGCAGTCGTTTGATGCTGTAATTATTGACGACGACGATGTCTTCCAAGATAGACATAAACAAAAACATATTGCGATGGCTGAAATTCGGTAAGAATTTTCCGTTTAATGCGATTAGGAAAAGTTATGCAAGGATTAAGCAAATTATGTTGGCTAATATTGGGTAATATTTTCCGGAGCTTCATGTGCGATGAGGTAATTGTAATGGTAAACATAAATGGGAGCTAATTGGACAGATACAAATGAAGAGTGAAAATAGTGATTGATGATATTAAGATTTATGGCATAGAAAATGTATTATTTTTGTTAACGAAAATTAATAAATATTCTATGACAATGTTTGGTTTCAATTATAAATTTTTTAAAACTGCGTTTAGTTCTTAATACCAGGATAATCAATCATAATTAAATAGAAAAACATTGTTGGTTTAATGTTATCAGATTTTATTCGGCAAACCACCATTACAATCATACCATTGTAAATTTTAATAACCCTTTTTTTTCAACCGCCAAACACAATCATGGTATCTCCAAACCCCATCATCTTGCGAAACAAGATTTTGCTGCCTTGACAAATACTTGAAACTCTAATAACCCCAGAAAGAAAATCACCCCAAATTACAAGCCTGAAAATAAGTTCTCCCCAATGACCACCATTAGGCTGGGAATCAAAACATTTTACAACATCAATTATGTGATTTTTTTTTTGTTTTTTGAACTATCAGAGCCAAAGTCAAAGTAATTTCTATTTTAATAACCAGTCCGCGGGGCCATGGCAAGTCCATTAAAAATAAATATCTATATATTTTGCAATTAAATCAACAACAAAACTGCAAATGAACCGAATCGAAATGCGAGAGAACCTGCTCCATTATATGGGCATTATATGCCTGCCCATAACTATCGGCTCAATCATAAATTTAATTAGCATAATTGACTCTGCGAACGGATGTTCTTTTTCGATTCGATTTGTGGTTTCAAAATTTCGCTCACGTAGCCGCAATTAAAAATGGGCTGGCAGCTTTTGGGAGCCATATGCTCAGTTTCACTTAACCCAGTCCACCGAAATGTTGAAGATCAGGGGCACGGGAAAATGCGAGGAGAAAGGTGTGAGAAAAGCTGGCAACAGCTGGTGGAACGTGCCACTGACACTTTCTCGATGCAAGAGAGACAGAGTTTATAAATATTCTCATTACCTGTCTTTCACTTTGTTCAAAATCAAAATAAAACCCCTTACCCAGTTCTGTAATAATTCTCTATGCGCTCATGTTTATATTTAACTTCCACTCGGTTGATGAACCATAAAAACAGAATTTCATTTTCCATTTTCATTTCCTCTGCTCCCAATAATATTCTATGCGTCATTTGGCAAATGAGTGGAGTTGGCTATCTTGTGTTTACCTTTCGGCGATAAGGCGCCAACTCGATAAGATAAAGCCACTCTGGATCTATGCCCCGATAGGGTGTGACTTGGCGTCGATTTCTGATTTTCCACATAAAAGTAATTCGCTGCATTCATGCTGTTGTGCAAGCTGCTGCCATGGAAATGGGCCGGCTTGGGGGTGGTGTGGAACTAATGGACTGTTTACTTATTTATGGGCCCTGAATGTTGGTCAATATTTGTGGTTTCCCTGGTGTTGTGGGGCCAGCGGAACAAAGGCGACTCACTGAGAGAGGTATTGAAAGAAAAAGACGCCAAAGCTTACTTACTTTTCTAGATGGCTGTTAAGCGGGGGGGTTGGGGGATATAATGTGGAAATAATTTATAGATAGGATAAGCCCACAAAGAAAGAATTCGTTGATTGACAGTTTCTTAAGCAGAAGTGAGCTCCACATGTTACTCGGGCTGATGATTCAAGCATTTTATTTTCTACCGAGAAAATTGTGTGACTAATTTTGTAATCATAAAGATTATTTCTTCGTCAATGGTATAATTTTCATAAGTTAATTTTTCAGATTATAATAACCTTTATTGTACCGAAGGTTAAAAATTTGTTTAATTAATAAAATCTAATTGAATGAAATCTACAAAACTAAAGACTAAACTGAGGAATTATAGAACACTTAATTTTTAAAAGTCTAAAAAAATCTTTTCATTGGAACCTTGACCCAAAAATATATTTTTCCTAAAATTAACAAAATTGTTTAGGTAAAATAAACATAATTTCCCACAGTTTATTACCCCAAAATTATCTTCCCTAGCTGATTAATGAACTCATTGCTCAAAAAATAAACGTTTAGCTAATTTCGCATTAACTGAATTCACATGTTTTTGAAATATTTCATGGCCAGAGAGCCCAAGTTCCGCCAGAAACATCTGTGCCAAGTGTCAAAATGTAAACAGTTCTAAAAAAAATATTCAACGCGCTCTGACCAAACACACAGTGAAAATCCATTAATATAATACGGAACCATTTAATAGCCAG